ACCACTGCTCCCACGCCCGCTGTCGTCGACGATGACCTAGGGCCGAAGAGAGACGACGAGTCCTCGGTGGACAAGCCCGTGAGGGAAGCGATCGGATGCCTGATGTGGTTGCTGTTCACGAGGCCGGACATCGCGCTGCCTTTGAACAAGCTGCAGAAGATCGCCCACTCACCCACCGAGAGGATGTGGAATGCGCTTGTGCGGATCATGTCCTACCTCAACGAGACGAAGGACCTCGGGATCACCTACGTCCGCGGATCAGGGCTAGACCTAGACGTGTTCGTCGATTCTAGTTACGCCGACAGCACCGTTGACAGGCGTTCGACGACGGGGCTAGCCGTGACTGTAGGTGGGACCGTAGTGTGCGCATCCACGAAGACACAGCCAGTGACGGCTCAGTCGACCACGGAGGCAGAGTATATTGCAGCCGGGGAGGGCGTGAAGGAAGCGTTGTTCGTGCGTGGTGTTCTGTCGTTCATTGCGCCCGAGACGAGCGGTGCCACGATCAGGGTCCGTGAGGACAACGAGGGGGCTCTCGCGTTGGTGCAGAACCCTTTCAGCTCGGCGAGGAGCAAGCATATCGACGTGCGGTTCCACTTCATCCGCGAGCTCTTCAAGGCGGGCAAGATCACCGCAGATTATGTCTCGACAGAAGAGCAGCACGCCGATATGCTGACCAAGGTCCTTGGTAGGGGCAAGTTGAAGTACCACCGGAAGGCTCTGATGAACCTGCCGATGTAAGGTTCTGGCCTCGTTTTTCGTGGCGTTTGTTTTGTTTTGTTCTAACGCTGGGCGCGTCTCAGACCGTGGTATGTCACGCAGGAAGCGTTGGGCAGGGGCGTCACCCGCGGCGGGAGCATAGGGTTTTTGACCAATTGCTTCGGGTGTGTAATCAGCGTGGCCTGTCCAATCTGTCCTGCCTTGGTCCTGTCTCTTTAGTGCGGCCGTTGGAATCCTTCGTGATAGCGACGGTTTCTTGTATGTTTTGAGTTTGTGGGCGAGGGTTTTCTTTATCCGGATGGCCGAGTTCTTCCCTTGCACCCGTTGTTGTATGAGTAACTTAAGTAGATCTGGAGTATCTATGCCCCACTGATGGTTTGTCAATAGCTTGACGAACCGGGGAGGGTGTTCGTGTGTCTGGATACGAGCATGGTAGATCTGCTAGCAGCACGGGGGGGGGGTACGTAGACAGGAGCATGCGTATGCCTGAAAAAGGCTAATATGTGTGGGCCCCCTTCCCCGAATTCAGGAGGGCCTTTTCTTCCCTTCCTTTCCTCGCTCCCGCGGGTGCCTAATCAGAGAGAGTTAAAGCGTGTTTTCTCCTCCCAAGTACGGACATACCAACAAACTCTCCCCTCAAAATCAAGGGATTCACTCGATTTAATCTCACTCTAGGAGATAGCACCCTACCGGTAGAAACCTTAGTACTACCATCGTTGGGCCCCGGTAACATGTTGTTAGACAACAGCATCATGGGAGTATTTGGCGGATTGTTTGATTGGCAAGCAGAAATATTGACATACAATCAATCAATCAACACCAGACTTTTCCAGCAACACACTTCATAACTCGAAACCCAACAACCAATACATCGGGCGAAGACAACTGCTCGATAGTAGTACAAGACGGCGGAGAAGAACCAGTTCCGGTTAATATCAACAAGAATTGTTGCATACCGGCACGCAGTGAAATAGCTGTAGAAATCCACGCAACGGTGGCACCTTGGTAGACATCACCTCACCGGATACGCCACAGACTTTCCATCGGATAGTCGTTGCTCGGAAGGTGTGTCATTGGCCCAGCACGAAGGGAGCAGAGGTTCAAATCGCCAATCCATCCAACCGACTGGCACGTTTGCCAGCGAAAATGTTGGTAGGATACATCTCTCCTGTAAAATCGGTACTTCCGCAGACAGTAAGTAGTGTACAATCGAGCCCTGACGAAGCCGCAAAATACCACAGAGACTTGGAAAAAGCTCTCACGAAAGCTTTCGCGCAAACCACCTTCTTCGAGGAACAACGTGAGCAAATGTTACACCTGTGAACACCCTACTGTTCCGTCTTCTCACTAAGTCTCAGTTAGCTAGGTAAATGCACTCTCACAGAAGCCGACTTTCCGCTAGAGCCGGATACACGCCCTGTTAACAGAACTCCTTACCGCGCGAATCTGCGTGTACAAGAGGTATTTGACAAGTGTGTGCACGATATGGAGGAAGTAGGGATCGTTGAACAAAGAGCGAGTCCCTGGGGTTCCGCAGTAATGCTAGTAGCCAAAGCTGATGGTACACCCCGGTTCTGTGAAGATTACCGAACCACGGTCAACAAACGCCTAATCCGAAAATCATGGCCCATGCCAGAAATGGCTAGCCACATTGACACCGTTGCAGGTGCGAAATTCATCACTGTCTGTGACGTTCAGATCGCATACCACCAGCTACCCATCACCGACAACGCAGAGCAAGACAGAACCGCCTTTCTTTGTAACACGGAATGGAAAATGGGTATTTAACGCCCTTCCTTCGGAATTGCCAACGCACCATTTTTATTCCGACGCATTATGGCTTTAGGTTTTGCTCACTTTGGACCGAAATCAGGCCTCCTTGTATACATGGATGACACAATCTGTTGTTCGCCAACATAGGAAGGTCATTTATCTTTGTTGAAAAACACTTTGAAGGCTTTGCAGGCAGCAGGGCTCACCTTGAAACCTTCAAAGGTACAATTCGGACCCAAAGAGGTGAAATACTCGGGGCACATTATATCTGTCGATGGGATACGCCTTGGTGAGGGGGGGGGGGTGTACTCATAGTCGTGCATGCCGTAGTCGTTTGACCATTGACCTCGCATCCCTACAAAGCCGGGACGGAGCATGCCGGGTTCTCACCGGACCAGGCTCTCACATCACCAAGCGCGAAGCGCCGTGAGATATTCGGCGAGTCGCATGAAGGGTGAGCTGCATCCTGCTAAGGNTTGCCAAGAGACGAAAACCCACTCCCGATGGCAAACACCGGGGGGGGCGATACGCCTTGGTGAGGGTCGGATCAAAGCCATTTTAGTTTTTCCTACACCCAGGAACATCAAAGAACTACGTTCAGTGTAAGGTATTGTGAACAATGTCAGGAAATTTATACCGAACCTAGCCGCCATCACCGCGCCCTTGGTTGACCTCACGAAAAAGGAAGGAGTCAAATCGGTCTCGAAACGCTGGGGTCAGGAACATGATAAGGCATTTGCCGAAATAAAGCATCTGCTTACGAAAGCACCTGTCTTGCATTTCCCGGATTTCTCTGAAGACTTCGTGATTCATGTTGATGCATTTGAAACTGGTGCAGGAGCCTTCCTAGCCCAGGAGAATGGTGAAGACCTGAATATCATTGCTTACTTTAGCCGGCGATTCAACACAAGCCAACGACACTATTCCGCAACCATGAAGGAGTGCTACGCTGTAGTATTTGCAATTCAACATTGGAGGCCGCACCTATGGGGTCGACACTTTACGTGCGTCACTGACCACGCAGCGCTAAGGTATCTCTACACGATGCAAGACACGTCAAATGTGCTTACACGCTGGGCAATTGTACTGCAATCATTTGACTTTAGCGTTCAGCATACACCGGGGAAACTAAATGCTGTACCCGACACGTTATCGCGTCTTCTCCTTTTTGAAAATGAAGAAGCACGCGAGGTGCTACCTCTTGCTCCGATTTGCCGCAACGTACCAGATGATCCGAAGCTCCAAACGGCCATGCCTACCTCACCTTACCAAGTGTCAGCACATAAACTAAACGACGTCCGACCTATCCGCAGCGATAGGGAGTTGTTCACTGTCAGCACTGCACGAGTATTTCAGTCTCTTATCCACGCCAAGCTACGCGAGAAGCAACGTAAAGAAACAAGGAGTGCATCGACTACATCCTTCACGAAAATGCGCCTCTCCCAGACAGAGATACAGCAACTACAATGTCATACTACTGAATACAGGACGGGATACTGTTTAAGTCGTACTTGCCTGGACACATCCGCAAACGTAGCACGTTCGGGGATCAGCTGGTATTGCCGCACGATCTCACGGATCTTGTAATGCACGCTTATGATGATCATGCGCTTTCGGGTGGGCATCTAGCTTTCCGACCGACATACAAAAGAGCTAGACAGAAATACTGGTGGCCGTCAATGCCTCGTGATATCCGCAACTGGTGTGAACGATGCCAAGCGTGTCAACCCAGGAAAACACCCCACCGTCGTCCGAAACTCCCGACGGGTCACGTACCTGTCCAGCGACCGTTTGAACGGATATGGTTGATCTAGTTGAGTGCAAGTCACTTTCTAAATTAAACACAGGAGAATGTAAATACACGCTGTCAATAATGGACCATCTGACACGATTTGCAGTCCTTACACCGACCCCAAACAAATCCCCTGAAACCATAGCGACGTGTAAATCGAAAGATAATCACCATCTTTGGACCACCAGAAATGCTATACTCTGATCAAGGCACCGAATCCGAAAACAAAATCATTCACCAGCTACAAACGATTCTTGGATACCAGAAAACCCGCACGACTCCATGTCGTCCGTACGGTAATTCCGTGTCTGAACGAGTACATTCGACAATGAATCGTGACAACTGGGCGGGGCTTTTACCGATGGTTGTTAGGGAGTTTGGCCGATAGCATGAATAGAGTACATCATATTCTTGATAGGATGCGGGTCGGTCAGGAGGTATACCCTTCTGACCCCTACCCCCTTAGAACTGTCTACTCTGTGTACCCCCTGAGATGAAGTTGGATCCCCACTTCATCCCAGACCTTTGCTGATCGTCTCTCAGCAATAACAAGCAACTTTCCCACCTCAACGTGGTCGTGGACAAGCGTGTCAACGACAGAACCTTCATCTATCTCTAGGAGCAAGCTACCGCCCACGGCTTCACTCCTTGAAACTTGGCGTCAGTGTTAAGGAGGACCCGATTCGCAGGGTATCCGTCGATTGAATTTTACCTGAATCGGTATACCTTCGCACATGGCGTCAGCGGCAGGATACGGGTACGAATCTCCTTCGGTGCACATTTTTTCTCCTGACTTGGACATTTTCCGACGGACACAATGTGTGCCAGTCCTGAGAACACCTCTGGAGTCGATCCTAAAAAGTACCTTGTGACACTTCCATCGAATTACCCATCCTGGCCACAAGAGGTTCCCAGTTGAGGGTAAATTCTGTGGGTGAAGAGTGGGTGAAGAGTGTTGAGGAGGACCCGATTCGCAGGGTATCCGTCGATTGACTTTTTCCTGAATCGGTACACCTTCGCATATCCTCCGNCCCATCCTGGCCACAAGAGGTTCCCAGTTGAGGGTAAATTCTGTGGGTGAAGAGTGGGTGAAGAGTGTTGAGGAGGACCCGATTCGCAGGGTATCCGTCGATTGACTTTTTCCTGAATCGGTACACCTTCGCATATCCTCCGGCTGCTGCGGCGAGGAAGCAGGAGGAGGAGCGTGAGGCTGTTCGGGCTGCTGCGGCGAGGAAGCAGGAGGAGGAGCGTGCGGCTGTTCTGGCGGAGCGTGAGGCGTATCTCCAAGCGGCTAGGGCGAAGCAGGGGGCGCTCCGATCGCGGCTGAAGGAGCTGGAGCCCCGCCACCAGGACCCGCGAGCAGCCCCCCACCCCCGTCGCCGGGTTATCGTCCCCCCCCCCACGCAATCCCAGGTGCACCTTGGTTCCCATCGTACCGCCTCGCCGCACGAGAAGGAGCGGGAGGTGGCGGCTTCTCCGACGAACGAGAAGGAGCGGAAGGGACAGCGACTCCGGAGTTTTCGGTGACTTTGGGTCTTCCAGCCGTTGCTGAAGACGGAGCATTGTTTGCGGCGGCAACCACGGTGTACGAGTTCCACGTTGGAGATTCAGCGTTCCTGTCCCGCCCGCTGGAGATGCCTGCAGAAGGTGTCACCTTCCACGATGAGGACAGATTGGCAGCTGTTTTTGCATGGGCTGGCATCAAACAACTTGTCCGTGCACAATTCCCCCCACCGCACACCGTTGCATTCGGACACATCTACCACACACCGTACCTCGCGAAACTTCCGCCTTCTTCGCGGCAGTCCGTGTTCCAGCTTTTGTTCGCTCTCCGTCGTGCCACCTTTCCAGAAGGTCCTCAAGGAACGTCGGTGGTGACCCAGGAGGGAGGACTCCAGCTGCCTCTTGCTCGTGCTGCTTCGACCAACGACTTCAAGCACGATCTGCAAGCCCCCCGGCAGGCCTCTTCACGCCCTGAACATGGTTCTGGAGAGGACAAGGACTTCAGTAGGTCGGCGGCTCCCGTGTCCAAGACCTGCAAGAACCGTTGGAGCGACCGGGATTCGACGGCCAAGAGCGGGACGGACTACCATCACCGCTCCACCCAGTCTTCGCGAGGGCGCGGCGTGGGAGATAACAGGCGAGGGCGAGCCATGGAGAACCAGCCTACCAGGTCTTCGCCGGCGAGTCGCCATCGCCGGAGCAGGAGTCGGAGCGCAGAACAACAGCGCACCAATCCTTCGTCTTGGCGTGGGCGCAGCCGGAGCGGAGACCGTCGTGGGAAAAACACGCCTCCGTCTAAGCGTAGCCGCAGCCGGAGCCAGAACCAGAGCGGGGGCAATAGCAGGGCGACCAGCACTGACAGCAGTCGCGGCGGAAAAGGGCGACGGAGGTCAGGCCACGGTGACAAGTAGAAAACCATCTGCGCAAGGAACCGGCAGGGCCCTCGACGTACGCCTTCTTCATCCAGAAATTGACGGCTGCCTGGGACACTCAAGACAAGATCTCGGGGATTGATCGTCTTCGCAGTTTTGGCGTATCCAACGGCGAGACTTACGGAGAATACATTCGTCGCTATAAGGCTCTGGCCATGACCGTCATGGTTTCCCACCACGCCTTCAAGTCTTCGGATGCGCAAGTGCAGATAGCTGTTCGAGACTCCATGTTGAAGCAGTTTCCGGTAGTGTCTGGGCAGGTGTACAAGGATGAGCAGCTCTCCATGGAAGCCCCTTTTGGGCGACATGCTTCGTGTCTGGATGATATGTGGGATGTGTTGGACAAGCGTGCGTTCGCGCACACGCCGGCGGTGCATGGAGATGATTTCTTTTCGGTATCTTCCACGAATGCTAGGAGTTCGTCTGCTGTTCGCGTGCTGCAGCTTTTTCGGCGTTGCGTTCGACGGTGACCCCTTCGTGGAGCCAAGGTTCCTCGGCCGCCGTGATGAGTGTTGACCCTCTACCTAATGATGATCGGGACCCTTTTCTGTTGCACTACAGCGACTGGCCGTTGCAAGGACACGTCCAAGAGGTTTACAACGTCGCTAGTGAGATGGCTCTAACCAGGAATGATCCGCCATTGTTTACCCCCTTGATCTCGGCTGAAGAGCGCCGCAACGCGCTTCGACTGTACAAGGGCAAGTGCCTCAACTGCTTAGGAGAAGACCACTCCTTCACATCCTGCAATCGTGGTTTCGTGAACGCCACCGACTTGTTCAACGATGACATCAAGCTCTGTATGGAAAAAGATCCCACCCTTTGGGGTCGGTGGAAAAAGCGCATGACCTCGTATAGACGCCCTACAGGACGCAACCCACATCGAAATCACCCCTTAGGACGCGCCCGCCGCTCATCTGACACATCGGACACGAAACAGTCCTCACACACAATGCACTTGTCGGACGCTTCTACTTCGACAAAAAGGGGCTGGAGGGGTAAGAAATGACAAGCCGATGGCGGAGTTCAGCTGGTACTACCATCAACAGCAACCACCGTGCACCCTTTTGGAGTCTCTCAAGATGTTCGTGTACAGCCTATTTCTTTGGATACTCCCCACGCTCCTAAATCACATCTAGTTTTTCGGCCCGCCTCCTCGTCGTCCGCCTCATCGCCTGCTGGTAATGGACATGACAGACCCATTTCGGCAGTACCTTTGTGGTGTGGGCGACAGGGAGGTAAGACGTCGAGTGGTCCATCCCTGCTCACCTCGTCGTCTCGGGGTACAGAAGGAGCAAGAACCTCGTCTTCTACTATTCGTCAAGACTCTCCTGGTGTTGTCAGCCGGGCCTCTTCTCGGATCGCACACGAGCCTTCATCTCCACTCGTCGGGAACCCCGTCGATCCTCCTTCTCTTTCGCAGCTTTCGTTGGCTTCGACCGTCCGCTACCCCCGTGTAACGGCACCTGATACGAATGCGTCTTCCTCTGCTACCCACCACGTGCTGACTGCACCACTGCGATCGGGATCGGATGGTAGTGCCCACCATTCTGTGGAAGGTTAGGCTCCTTTGTCAAGGGGGAGTAGTCAAGAGCGCCCTGCGTCAATGATCGAACATCCGTCTGTTGCAGGAATGACTTCTCCTAACGAACAGGTCTCTAATAGCCGACTGGCCTCTGCTAACATTGACCCCGCCGGAGCCGCCGCGCTAAGGCCGCCCTCCGGATCACGGAGCGTTGCGACTTCGCCCGCTCCTGCCTCCCTTTCTGGATCTTCATTGTCGGAGAAGAGGACCCGTCCGCCTGGTCCACCCCCGCCTGTGCCTGGTGCCCGTTCTTTGCCCCTTCGCCCTGCACCGGCTCCGTCGTTTGATGATAAGTGCGAGTACGCTTCGGATGACGTCATTCTTTCTGGAAACCTCCGTCTGTGTTCTCGCAATGGACTCCTTCGGCTTTTGACGTACTGGGGGTACGTTATTCATGTGGTGAGCAATTTATGATGTTTGAAAGCGAAGATATTTTGAGATATGACGTCGTATGACAATATTATGGCTGCAACAGATCCTAAGACACACAAGTTTTTGGGTCGAAATGTGCGTCCTTTCGCCTATGCTGAATGGGAGCGTCGTCGTGAAGAGATCGTGCTTACGGGGTCGTACGCCAAATTTGCTCACAACCATGCCATGAAATACCATCTACTGGAGACGGGTACCCGCCTCCTTGCAGAAGCCAGCCCCTTCGATCGTGTTTGGGGTATCGGCATGTCTGCATGCTTTCCAGATGCTAGCGTTTCATCCAAGTGGGCGGCTAGCGGTAAAAACATGTTGGGAACAGCTTTGATGGAAGTTCGACGCCTTCTTCGTGATCGTCCCCTGTCTGGCGAAGATTTCCCCGCTTCCAACTCTCCTACTCCCCCCATTTCGCAGCCTCCTCTGCATGGACATCGACGCATTCATGAGGTTGCTACTGCTACAGGTTCTTCGCTACGGAAGGACCCGGGCGAAGACCCAGCTTGTCTACGTTTGGACGCTCCGGGGGACCATGCTCCTGGCGTTCATCTGGTGGCGTTCGAAAGACCACCCAACACCTGTATTCTCTCCTCCCCGGCCTGCCCCCCCCGTCCCTGGGGTAGGCCGAGGTTCCGCAAGTGGATCTAGACCTCGAAAGACCACCCAGCAACGACGGCTATACGGTCCCTAGCACTGTTTAGAGGGGGATCCTGAGTTTGGCGGTTGGGAGTTACTGCTGTCGTGAGATCGGGGTAACTCCTTAGCCGCCAGCTTTGGTAGCTGCAAGATGAGACTGGATCCTGACGCCCCTGCTAGGACACCGGGGCTATGCAGCAGCAGAGAGCACGGTGAGGGTGGCGGAGTGGCCGCACGCCGTGGGGGTATGCCCCAGAGAGAGGGAAGGAGAGAGTCCAGAGATGGAGGGCCACACCGCTCCGAGTAAGAAGACAACTCTATGGGAAACAAGGCAAGAACCGGGGTAACTATCACGTTAGCCCGAGTGTTCGCAAGAAAATAGTAAAAAAACAAAAAAAGGGAAGATGGAGGAAAAGGAGGGGTCGGGCGGTGCGTAGGCTAGCTAAGAGAGCAGCGCGCGCCGTGCGAAAAAGACAGCAGGGTCAATTTCTTAGGGTAGCAACCTGGAATGTGCGGACTTTGGCTGTAAACGGGGCCAATGGATACGGGCGAGCTTACAGCGTTCTACACGAGGCAGCGAGACAAGACGTATCGGTGGTAGGAATGCAGGAGACACGGAGGGCAGGTCGAACGGAATTTGCAGCAGCGGGTTTCCGGGTGTTCTGCTGTGGCACGGAGGCTGGTGGAGTCCATGGTGTGGGGATAGCCGTCAAAGAGTCACTGTGAAAGACATCCACGTTCACTACGGAGTTTATCGACGAACGCCTTATGGCCATGAGGTTTCTGTTGGCAGGCCACCGTGGAGCGGTCAACTTCGTAGCCGCGTATGCTCCAACCGAACCTTCAACCGCCGACAGCAAGCGCGTGTTCTGGGGAAAACTTGACAGTCTCGTGCGGAGGATCCCTTCCAAAGAATGTGTGTATGTCCTACTGGACGCCAACGCGCGGACGGGAGATAGGTTGGACGAAGGGGACGGAAGGGTAATAGGAATGTACGGGCGTGATGAGCTCAACGACAATGGCATGCTACTGTTGAACTTCGCAACGGAAAACAGGCTAGCTCTCACGAACACGTTCTTTGAGACACGCAAGGGCGGAATATGGCACACATACAACGGTGTGTCGGGAAACGATTGCAAGCGCCTTGACTACATCCTGACAAGGCAGGCACATCACGGCCGAGTATCTAACGTGGTCGTCATCCCCCAGCCGGTTCGCCCAGTCAAAGCAGACTCAGACCACAATATGGTAGTAGCCACCGTCAACCTCGGTGGCAGGCTTGCCCACAACCGTGCAGTCCGGACTAAACCGAAACAGAAGCAATTCAACCGTCGGGAATTGCAGTTCGAAGCAGCACGGTGTGCGGTGACTAATCGGTTCCTCCTCAACCTCGACACACGACTGGACGAGCGAACAACCACCGCCGCGGAATTGGCGACCGACTTTACCAATGCTCTCCTCGACGCAGCGCGGACGACCCTGGGGGAGGAACCGCGGAGACGCCGCACGCAGGAGTGGTGTGAAACCTCAGAGACGCGAGCAGCGCTGGAGCAGGCCCTTACCAAACGACGGGAAGCGCGCCGGGGCCATGAGGGGCAACTGGAACTCAGTGACATGGAGGGTTCTCAAAGCAGCGTGAAAGGGAGTGGCTACAGCAGTTGAAACGGGCATTTATGCCCACCTGGACGGATATGTGACTGAGCTCGAAGAATTCTACAAAGATCGCGACATGCGAGGACTGTACCAACACCTCAAGAGATCAGTGGGCCTCAGCGGGAGACAAGCGGGGGGACAGCAGTTCGTCGCGGATGAGAACNCACGGGCAACGAAAGGCCTCAAAAACTGGAAGGCACCCGGCCATGACTCCCTCCCTACCGAGTTGCTCAAGATCGATGACGACGAACCCTTCGTCCTGGGACACCTCCATACCATCCTCGTCAAGGTGTGGAACGGAGGAGATATTCCGCGAGAGTGGAAGGATGCAACCATCAAGGTGCTGTACAAGAACGGTGACCAGTCCAACTGTAACAACTACAGGGGGGTTTCGCTACTATCTCACGTAGGCAAGGTCCCCATCAAGATCATCACCAACCGTCTAAGCGCCTTCTGCAAAGCCAACAACATCGTCCCGGAGTAACAGTGCGAATTTCGACCCGGGCGATCCACCGTCGATATGCTGTTAGTCGTGCGCCGCCTCCAGGAGCTGGGGCGGAGAAAGAAAATACCGCTCTACATGTGCTTCGTCGACTTGAACAAGGCGTATGATTCGGTGGACCGAGAGATGCTATGGAAGGTGCTGGCCAGGGCCGGGATTCCCGCGAAGCTGATCTAAGTCATCCGCCAATTCCACGATGGAATGCGGGCCCGGGTGCGCATGGACGACGGAGAACTGTCGGACTGGTTCTTGGTGATACAGGGCGTGCGACAAGGATGTGTGCTATCCCCACTCCTGTTCAAATCCTCTTCGCCGAGGTCCTCGAGGTCGTTGTCATCCGATTCAGCGAGGATGATGTTGTTCTGCGGAGCCTGGTGTGCTTGGAGGAGGGGAAGACGGAAGCCGGGGGNCGTAGTCGTTACACCATTGACCTAAACACCGGGGGGGAGGGCAGTATGGGGGATGCTGTATGCCGATGATGCCGGCGTCGTATCGAGGTCTGCAGAAGGACTGGCGAGAATGATGACCATCATCGTTGACGCGTTCGGGGAGTTCGGGCTAACGGTGTCGGAGAAGAAGACGGAGACGCTCCTGATGCGCGCAAAGGACAAGCCGACTACAACACCACAACCCCCGACGCCTCCACCGCTGACCATCGAAGCCGCGGGACAGAAATACGCCCAGACGACCGAGTTCCGGTACCTCGGTGGCCTCGTCAACGAACATGGCGACCTCACCCGGGAGATCAACTACAGGAGCAGAGGAGCGTGGGCGTGCCTCAGGCGATAT